TTCGAGCAGATGTCTGCCCCACCCAGGCGCATCCACATGTGCCTCTGGCCCGTGTTGACGTGTCTCTTGGTTGGGTATGATAAGTGGATGGAAGGGTCAAACCAAGCAGAAGGTGTCCTGAATCCGATGCACACCGGTCTTGTGTGGCAAGAGGGGGCTGAGGCGCCTCTGTTGGATCACCGGTTGCCACAAGTTTTGTTTGCATAAATTCATCCACTTTGTCCACACCTCATCTCGCCTCACTTCCCCTCGTCCCTCCTGTCCCAATTCTCCGGCGCCCCCAGGGCTCCTTTATCGTCCTGCCAGACGACTGGTCAGGACTGATGTCACCACCTCGACGCCTGTAGGCCTGAAACTGGGCTTCGAGATACGTAAGTTGGGCATTTTGGCCTACATCAAGCGCTCAACTCAACCCAACCCAAACGCCCTTCGCATTCTAATGCCACCTGCCCTACCGTGGCATTATCTTCTTTTGGCCTCCTTGCTGGGCTCTGCCTGCCCTACACTTGAACTTGCTGTCCTACATGCGGATCTGAGTCCGTGGATGATGCAACTGTTGGCCATCAAAGTTGTATTTGTTACATAGAACTGTATCTTTCCTGTCTGTCTTCTCTCCAGCCTCATACCGAGTGCACAAGTCAACACCCATTTGTCCTCTCCTCTCACACTCTTTCCGGCCATTTTTTGAGCACCCCTTCCATCTGTCCTTATGCCAAAGACACAACTTCGAGCTCAACTTGAACGCCAGAATTATGGCGCCTCTGTTTCAAATCTCAAAAACATCTCTTGCTCCACTCTCATCCCTTCCTCTTCTTCCTCCCATAACCCTCTACCTCCGTCTCCCTGCCCCGAGCCCACTCTCACCAATTCCCCTTGGACAGCATTACCCAGAATCCCCGGCCAACATCGCCCTCCCCACACCCACACATACATGCACAAAATGCTTATCCATCTTCGCCTGCCTTGTCAAGCGCCTCCTCAAAGACCCCGAGTAGACCGAAGTGTGAAACATGTGATGTGTATGATGGCGAATATGGTTACGACTGTGGGGCTGTCAGTAGTTAGACTGATAATGATAATAAAAGTCATGGCGCCATTGTTGGTGCCAGTAAGTGTGACAACAATGGCAATGGTTGTGATGATGTGAGACCGAGGCTACTATCAAACCATTACCAGACACAGAGAAGACAGACTTCTGTCAGCGTGCGTCGGACAAATGGCTCGGTCTGCTGGCAGTTAACAAGAAGCGTCCCGAAATTTGCCTCGTCGAGGGAACAATTGGGTCCAAGAAGCAAGCTGGAATGCTTCAAGACTGGGGTTGGAGGAGGGCAATTCGATTCTCCAGGAATAATTATGAATGTGGCCACTAAACGCGATTGATCCAATT